TCACCCACTTGACCTGTGTCAAGGCAGAGACATTCTGGCAAATCACTTTCTGAAAAATAAGAAAAGGAGACAGAGGCAGATGGAGGGGAAGGGAGGTAGAACTATTACTTACCACCATGGTCAATTTAAAGGGATCAGTGGCTTTACAAATGACTTACAAAATCCCTCAGTACTTAACAGTCAGCACCATGGATTTGAACCCGGTCCTGGGCGTCCATCTCAGAAGCCCCCACCATCTTCTCTGCCAGCATTTGCTACACTTTGTTCATCTGATCACCGCTTGTACAGTTTTGCCACACCGGTGTTCCACCTGGCTATTATTACATATTTTTCCCAAGACAACTCACTTTTTAAAAAAAAAATGTATTTATTTGCGAGAAAGAGAGAGAACGAGCACAAGCAAGGGTAGGGAGCAAAAGGAAAGGGAGAAGCAGGATCCCTGCTGAGCAGGAAGCCCAATGCAGGGCCCAGTCTCAGGACCCTGGAATCATGGCCTGAGCTGAAGGCAGATGCTTAACTGACTGAGCCACCCAGGCATCCTGCAACACCTTACTTTTTAAAGACGGTTGACATTACTATCACTGAAAATCACTTGCTATAAAGAATAAGGTAATATTAAAATGAAAATTTAATTATTAAAGTAAAAAATTCTTTGCACTTCCTAAAATGCCCTTTCCATGTGCTGGCTCAGGGAACCCAGAGGCTGCACTCCAGGGACCTGGGGCCCATCCTTCTGCCACCTTCCATAACAGCCATCATGTGAAAGGCCTATGGCATGCCACTGGGTCCTTCAAAAGGAGGAGACAGCAAATTTGTTAGGAACATGAAAATGCTCTGCCAGTGTTCAGACATGTGTCTTGTACAGGCTTGATGTCCCCACAAGGCTCTTCACCTGTAGCCTGTCCTAGGACCTCAGGATCCATGAGGAACACACTGTGAGCAGCTTCTCTAGGATGGCCTGCCCCATGAGGATTGGACTGGGTTTCCATAATCATTTCACCCCCGGCCACAGTTTGGCGGGAGGGAGGTACAGGGTGTTGATCAAGAGCAGCAGTGGCAGTGCGGCCGGTATGGACCAAGACCTCCAAGGGACAGAGCCCCAGGGAGGAAACAAAAACAGAGGTTTCTACAGAGGCCAACTAGTACTGGGCTAGTTTCTACCAAAGCTAAATGCATGCCTACCCGGCAAAGCTGCCACTCCATTCCAGAACACATACTCTCAGAGAGGCTTGCACATGTCCACCAAAAGACACACAGAATCTTTGCAACAGTTCTTCCCCAAATAGCTCCAAATGAAAACCAATCCACATACCTATCAACAGAAAAATGGGCAAATCTGGTGTGGAATACTATACAGCAAAGAAAAAGAGCAACCACTACTACTACCACTACATGCAAGGAAGGAAAGAATCTCACAGACATAATGTCAAGAAAAAGAAACCGGACCCCAAGGAGTATGTGTTTGTGGTTCTATTTCTATAAAGTCCAAAAACAGGCAACAGAAGTCAGAATACGGGGGTGCTAATGACTGAGAAGCCCAGGAAAGCTTCAGGGGTGCTGGTAAGGTTTTCCACCTTGATCTCAATGGTGGTTACAAAGCTGTGTTCACTTACTAAACATCTGTTGAGTTGTATAGGGAATATTTTTTTTTGCACTTTAGTACAGGTATGTTATATTTCAACATACAGTATAATAAATAAATATAAGAAAAAGGTATACAAAATACCAGCACAGTGGTAGATGAAGAGAGTAAGAACCAGAATGACATCTATAACCAACACTGTTGAAAAATAAAGAAGCACATGTGCAGATAGGATACCTCACGTTTTGGGAGAACTGAAAAGATATACATTAAGTGCATTCATAAGGTTGCCTGTGGGGAGGGAATGGGAGAGAGGGGTAGGGATAAAAGGGAAACCATAAACAATAAAATAAGATTAGGGTCTCACTAGGACCAGAGGGATCCTGGGCCATTTCATAAAGAAAAGGAAGAAGAAGAGGAGAAGGGGGAGGAGAGGAAAAGACATTAAATTTTGGACAATCCTTCGAGGTTTCCAACACTCCCCAAGGAATCCAGCTTGGGCTCTAATGCCTGGAGCTCCCCCCACCCCCATGCCATGCAGCATGCTTTATACACAGGCTGTTCCTGTTCGTGGACCTGGGAGTGATGTTCTCTGAGGAGAAGGGGCATTTCAGATGGGGCTCACAGGTGACCTGGGATTTCTCAGGAGGTGGAAGATGAGAGCAGGGATAAGAGAGAGTCACGTGTTGGGAAGTCAGAGAAATAGCCCCACAGAGGAGGGACCTGGAAGCTGGTGGGCATCTCATTCCCAGACAAGCGTGAGCCTCAGTTGGCCCTCAATACACGTCTGTCATGAGACCTGCTGTAGCCAAGTACCACCTGTGCTTTTACTAACACTTTTAATAAAAAGAATTTTTTTTACCTTAATGTTTTAGAAGGTTTATCCAAGGTATGATGTGGATATGGAGAAATGGGCCCCCTGGTACCCTGCTGGAGGGAAGGTAAATGTTGCAGCCACTGTGGAAAATGGTATGACAGCTACTTGAAACATTAAACATAGAACTACCTTATGATCCAGCAAAGTCACTTCTGGGTATTTATGCAAAAAAATTGAAATCAGGATCTTGAAGAGATATTTATACACCCATACTATAGCCTAGCCAAAAGGTAGAAGCAATTCCAGTGTCCTTCAACAGGTAGATTAACAAAAGTATATACATACAATGGAATACTATTCATCCTTAAAAAGGAAAGAAATACTGACACACACTACAAGGTGGATGGACCTAGAGGATATTATGCAAAGTAAAATAATCCAGTCACAAAACGTCAAACACTAAAAACCAAACCAAACCAAAAAACCCCAAAAGGTCAAATACTGTGTGACTCCACATATGCATGTATGTAAATGTCTGCCTGTGTATACTCAAATTCATTGAAATGGAAAGTAGAGTGGTGGTGATCATGGGCTGGGGGAGGGGGCCAGGGGAAGTTACTATGTAACGGGTACAGAAATTCAGCTTTACAAGATGAAAAGAGTTCCCGAGACGGATGGTGGTGATGGTTGCACAATGAAGTGAATATACCAAATGCCACTAAACCCTTGAAAAAGGTCAAGATGTCAATTTTGTTTTGTGTGTTTCATGACAATTTTTACAAGGTAGCTTTATATCATGCTATACATGAGAAAACTCTTGCCCTAAAGGAAAGGTGTCCATAAAATTAAAACAATTACACTCCAAAATAAGGCAGTGTTGATGTTGCCCAGATGCTGGCATCTGCTGAGTCTATGCATGGAGACCTCACCCCACTCCATACCCCATACTTTGAAAGACCGATGTAAAGACAAAGGAGAAAGGGGCATGAGAACGTCAGGCACAGGCAGGCCAGGGAATGCCCAGTAAGAAAAGGAGAACGGACAGACCCCCACCAGGCCCAGGGCTGTCTGGGCAGGGAATTCCATGTCTCAGGTGCCTGAACAAGGACTACTTCAGTTCCAAGAACTTCTTGCTCTGTGAGGAGGGGATCCGCTGTAGGAGGGCCAAAGTAGATCCATCTTTAAACGCTAGACCCAGGGAGAGGGACTGGTTACTTTGGCCTAGGGCCTGTACTTCCTGGAGACAAGTAAATAAATACAATCCAGCCTCAACACGGCCAGGGCATAGACAGATGATGCCCAGTGAGGGCGGAAGAGAAGGATATAGAGGGAGAAACTGTGAAGGCTCTTGCTATGAGTCACCCGCGGACATCTGATATTTTAGCAAGCACTGCATCCAGACCCTTTTCCTGGAAACAGTACCTCGGTTTTCCTTTGGGAAGCTGCCTCTTTCTGGGATATTCCGTATATTTGGTTGGGCGAGGTTGACTCTATCCCTTCCCACTACAGGATTCAGAGGATCCAGGCCTGGCTGGTCAGGAGATGCTATCCTTCCTCCTCACCTCGGAACCATAATAACGACACTGCCCGGTACTCTATAAGCTCCTGGATTCAGCCACAGCTGACACAAGACGCACCCCTCCTTTTCGTCTATGCTTTAGAAGGGTGCACAGCGTAAGTGACAAGGTGTTTGTGCTGGGGGCTGGGCAGGTCTCTGCACGATATGCTCCTTGTCCAGGGACTCCAGAGGTTTGGTCTCGTCTGTAGAGAGCTTTCTCAACCACACAGGTGCCCTTACAGTTCTGGGTGTTGTGGGCCCCCCACACCTCTTTGCAAACCAAATCCCCTCCCCCGCGCGCCGTCATGTCCATTATATGACTTGCAGCGGACCGGCTGAAAGGTGGAATCTCTTAGACATCTTCTTTTTTTAATTAATTGTAAAGTTCGAACTGCTTTTCTTTGGCATTCTCGTTGCAAACTTTTCCGCAGCCTTTGGAAAGCTCCCAGGCTCCAGGACCCGCGCCCATCATGCCAGCCACACCGACAGCGCTCCGCGCTGCTCGCACCCTCGTGCGGGCGGGCGGGAGAGGGCAGAGCCTCGCACGCATGCGCGCGGGGGCGGAGCTGCGCCCCAGGCCTGCGCGTTGCCGCTAGGCCGCGGGGGAGAGGGGCTGGGCGGGGCGGCGGCGAGGGCGCGGCGGACGCGTCCGTGGGACTAGCGGGACTTTGTGCTCCGCAGACCCTCCTTCGGGCGTATGGTCCCGGAGCCGGCCCCCCAAACCTCCCGCCGCTTTCAGGCAAGGCGCCCCAGACTCGGCGGGACCAGCCCCGGGGAAATGGAGTGGGCCCGTCCCCACGGCCCCAGAGGGGCCCCGAGGAGACGACCGCGCGCGGCCTGAGCCGCCGTCCTCGCCCGGGGACCCATGGGCGCGTCCCCGCGGGCGCGCCGCGGACGTGAGGGCGGCGAGCGGCGGGGCCGCGGCGACGAGGAGGGCCGTGCTCGTGCCCGGCCGCGCTCAGGCCGCGCGCGCGCGCTCCTGCCACAGCGCCGGCCGCGCCCGCCCCGCCTCTCGGCGCCGGCCCGGGAGCCCGGTCCGCGAGCAGCGGCGGCGGCGGCGCCCGGAGGGACGATGAGCGGCGCGGCGCGGGCGGGCCCGGCCCGGCTCGCCGCGCTCGCTCTGCTGACCTGCAGCCTGTGGCCGGCGCGGGCGGACAACGCGAGCCAGGAGTACTACACGGCGCTCATCAACGTGACGGTGCAGGAGCCCGGCCGCGGCGCCCCCCTCACGTTCCGCATCGACCGCGGGCGCTACGGGCTCGACTCGCCCAAGGCCGAGGTCCGCGGCCAGGTGCTGGCGCCGCTGCCCATCCACGGCGGTGAGTGTCGGGCGGCGGAGAGCGGAGGCCGGGCGCGGGGGCGGGCGATGGCCCCCCCCACGGGGCGGGCTAGCTGGGGCGCGGGGGCGGCGGACGCGGCGCCCCCACCCCGGCCGGGCTCGCCGCTCCGCTCGGCCGGCGGCCTCGGGGCCGCGGCTTTGGTCGTGGTGCAGCCCGGCCTGCTCCGCGGCTGGCGGTGGGGCTCCCGCGGCGGCTGGGGGCTCGCCTCCTCTCCTCGGAGGGCTCGGAAAACCGTCCTTTTCGTGGAGGGGGCCTGTTTACGGGAGGGCATCGGCCTGCGAGTTTGCGGGGACAGTTGAGACAAAGGCGGCGGGGGAGGAGCGCACCACTGATTCCTGGTGGAGGAGGTGTTCCCCTGCCGGTTCCGAACCCGCAGGTTTACGCCCGAAATCCCAGACTTAGCGCGGCGCTGGCCCTCGGAGGACCAGGCCCCTTTCTCACGTGGAAACGTGCAGTTTTTCTCAAGTGGCAAGTTGGCGGGGGGGTGGGGTGTTGGAGAAGGAAAACCAGTATCTTCCCTGTTGCTTCTGGCTCCTGCTCTGCCCCAGGAGTTTGACTGTAATTCGACGCCTGGAAACCTCACATTAGGGAAAATCTGATACCGATTAGGACTGGTAGCCAGGTCTTCAGAGCACGGGTGCTGACCGCAGGGCAAATAGATAAAATTTTCAAGAATTGTTTTTGAAGCCATTTGGCTTACTCTCGTGTCTTCCTAAAAGCACAGCAGCCTCTGATTATTTGGTACGAAACATATATTTGTATACATCACTGGCTATGTTTTAAAGGGAACTTTCTTCCTTCTGGTATTTTCTGTGGGTGGTTTTTTGTTTGTTTTTTTTCCCTCCCCACTGCCAACTTTTTGGAAAATGTCTGCTATCTTCTCCCCCTCACTCATCCTGAGAATGCTGAGAGGGGATTTTTTTTTTTTTTTAACTGCTATTCATGTTAAGATGACCTAAACAAGGCAGCCTAAATAAGATAATGGTGTTTGTTCTTACACTTTAAATATTAAAACATCATGCCTCTAACGAGATCTGTGTTTGTGTGCCGAGATGTTCGCATACTGGCCGAGGACAGAGAATCTTGCCGGGCTTTGGCAGTAGCTTGCCCGCCTCCCTCTCTTGTGGACCTGCCCTTTAGAACTTCCCTTGTACACCCAACAGTCAGGTGCCTCAAGTACGTTCTCATCTTCCCTTCCTTAAAAATGGCAGTTAGGGTCCCCGTGTGCCCTCAGAAACAACTTTGGTCTTTGGTTCATTTAGTAAATATTTGTGTCCCTGATCTGTGCCGGTCACTGTATTTGGATCACACGGTGTTGCCAAACTGGCACTAACAATGGCAGCCTATTTTCTGGTGCTGAGAACCGTGAGGGTCACGTGGAAGGGGAGGAAGAGGAAGAGAGAGAGAGAGAGAGAGAGAGAGGCAAGCTGTTCTGGAGCAAGAGCAGACCCTGGGCCGTGTTTTGAAATCTGTGGTTTTCCTTTGGGGCTTGGTTCCCTCTGGCACCCTAAGTCCACTATCCTCAGGTTTAGACTCTTGCCTCCAGAGGGTTCCACGTTTTAAAACTACTTGTTGCTTCCTTGTCACCCCAAACAAAAGCCCTCTCTTTAAGAAAGCTTGTTTTAGGTGTTGGAGTACAAGGGTGTTAGGAGCTCACATGCAGCGGATGTGTGAGTGAAGGTTTAGCCCCATTCCCTTGTCCCTGGGGAGGTAGCATCGCTGGTTCTGAGCCCGGCTATACATATACATACTTTGTGACATAGGAAAGTAAATCGGCTGCATGACCTCAGTTTTTTCATCAGCAAAATGGAATGATGACATACTTGTCTCAGTAAGGTTGTTGAGAGGTGTAAATGGTTCTTGTGTTTTTTTTAAAAGTAGGCTCCACGCCCAGCATGGAGCTGGACACTGGGCTTGAACTTACGACCCTTAGATCAAGGCTTGAGTTGAGATCAAGAGTTGGATGATTTTTTTTTTAAGATTTTATTTATTTATTTATTTGACAGACAGAGATCACAAGTAGGCAGAGAAGCAGGCAGAGAGAGAGGAGGAAGCAGGCTCCCTGCTAAGCAGAGAGCCCAATGCAGGGCTCGATTCCAGGGTCCTGGGATCATGACCCTAGCCGAAGGCAGAGGCTTTAACCCACTGAGCCACCCAGGCGCCCCAAGAATTGGATGATTTTTAACTGACTGAGCCACTCAGGTGCCCATGGTTCCTCCATTATTAAAAAGAGCAAACTGTTAACCTAATGGATGTCTAAATTGGTGAGGTTTTAGACACCCCATCGAAGTGAACACATTGGGGGCAGTGTGTAAAGGCTGAGTCTGGGGTCAGTCACTTAAGTGTCTGTCTTCCCTTCCCCTTCTCCATCCTCTAGGAGCTCATCTTTTTGTACTTGAGGTTGCTCTACGTTCTCATGGTGTGCATGGTGAGATCCTACAGGTGGTTTGGATCTGACTTCCTACTAAGGATCTGCGCACATAGGTGCTTTCAGTCCAGCAAATACTAATTGAAATCCTTTGTACCACTGGGGAGACAGAGGGGCAACAGCAGTAAACAAAACAGATAAAAATCTCTCTTCTTCCTGAAGCACTAGTAAGGGCCTTTTATAAATCAGTTTACCTGTAAATCATGAAGTCCAAGACATTTTCCTGCTTTTGCAACAGGGACTTAGGAGTCTGTCTTAAAAACAACAATGGTGGTATAAACCTGTTAAAATTACCCACATTTAAGAAATAGCTTACATCAATTATATCTCAGGAAGAAGAGAAAAAGTCGTTATTCTTGATTTAGTCAGTTTCAAAATTTTGTATTTTAAGAAAAAATATTGCAATTCTCATGATATTTATGCTCTTATCATTTTGAATTGAAGAGAATTCTTAGCATGTTTGTTGAGGACTTACCATGTATTGACAGTAAAGTGATATTCAAATCACACAAACGAAAAAGTTATGAGACAGAATTCCTGGCAAAAGCAGCTGTGGGCAATAGATGTGAATCAATCTCCCTTCCCTTCCTTCCTTCCCTTCTCTTCCTTTCATTTCCTTTCCCTTTCCTTCTCTTTTCTTCCTCTCCTTCGGCTCTGTACCAAACATGGGGCTTGAATTCACTACCCCGAGACAGGAGTCACATGCTCTGCTCCCTAAGCCAGCCAGGAACCCCTAGATGTGAAATTAATGAAAATGCATTTTGAGGATAAGTGTTTGGTAGTAAGGAACATAAAGACAAAATAACTTCACATTTTCCTAGAGCTTAACATTGTGACTCATTTTAAATCTATGACTTGATTGGTGAAATACTAGAAACCTGTCTGATTTCATAGTGCTACTATCAATTAGGCATGTATGAATTCCTGATCAAAATTTATTTGCCATATGTCCTTAAAGGATAAGTAGGCAGCTTTTTCTTTCTCGGTGCTTTGGTATTTTCAAAGTACATTTTGGGAAGGTTACAGTTTATAAAACAGTAAGTGTTCCACTTTGAAAATCTATTCTTTGTCATTACACAGAATGCATTTGTAAATGGAGATTTCATTTGTCTGGTGCTAACGAATTTCACAGTGTAACTGAGAAGGAATTCATTTTTAGAAATGGGCTTTTGAAAGGACCCATCTTGTATTTGCAGATTCCATTTGCTTTCTTATTACTAATTTACTCAAAGGGTGAGCTTAGAGCTGGAAGCAAGTGTAAAGCCTCTCGCTCGTGCCTGTGGTGGGGCAGACCTTGTAACTGTGCTCTGTGTGCGCGCACACTAACTTTTTGTCTGAGCCTGGGGTGGGGGGTTGGGAAGGAGAAGGCCCTGTGTTGATGATGTCATTGTGTCTGCAGATGTGCTGGTGGGAAGAATCTGGTGTCAGCCACTTTTTGCTTTGCGTAGAAAATTTGAGGATTGGTTGTTAAAGCCTGAGAGAACAGTCTTAACAAATGTTCAGCTTGTTGGGGGAAGGGGGTCTTGCTGACTGTACAGATACAATAACATTTTTTTAAAAATACTTAGGTTTAAGAAAGTGATTCTGTGGGATGAATCCATTAAACCTGAACATGGCTTTTAAAATTCTGATGAAGAGTGAAGGAGATTGATGTGGAAATAAGGCCTTGGACGAAAGCGGTCATGTAATGTTGGAATTCATTCATAATGGCAAAGGCAGGGGCTGCTGGAGATAGTCAGAGGTTTCAAAATATTTATTCAGAGGAAAAATAGGTATGATCCTGGGAGTAGGGACTCTGAAAGGAAAGAGAATTCAAAAGGAGCTAGAAGTTCTAAAAACCAGACTTTAACGTAAATAACCAAGCAAGCAGATAAAGGAGCTATATACAATAAATTATATTTATATTGAATTTTATAATTTTTTAAAGATGTATTTGAGAAAGAGCATGGGTGGGGGGAGGCAGACTCTCTACAAGCAGGGAGCCTGATGTGGGGCTCGATCCCAGGACCCTGGGATCATGACATGAGCTGAAGGCAGATGCTTAACTGACTGATCCACTCAGGTGCCCCTATCTTGAATTTTACAATCTAGAAAATGGTTTTACATACTGTATTTTCCCTTCACTTTTGGATGATCCGTTGTCATATAATATTTGAATTGTTTTTAAAGATTTTATTTATTTATTTGACAGAGATCACAAGTAGGCAGAGAGGCAGGCATAGAGAGAGGAGGAAGCAGGCTCCCTGCTGAGCAGAGAGCCCGATGTGGGGCTTGATCCCAGGATGATGTGGGGCTCAATCCCAGGACTCTGGGATCGTGCCCTGAGCCGAAGGCAGAGGCTTTAACCCACGGAGCCACCCAGGCGCCCCAGTATTTGAATATTTTTAAAAAAACATTTGTCCTTCCCACCAAATATCCATCCTGCTACCATTCCATTTCTCTGTTTCTCTTAATGGCAAAGCTTCTCATCAGTGTTGTTCATATTTGCTGCCTTCAGTTTTTCCTCCTGCTGTTCACATTGTGAAGATCTTTGATGCTGTGACAGTGATTC